CCCACCCCCCACCTCCCACCCCTCGCCCTGTCCTCAGCTCACCAGCCACACCAGGACCGGGCAGTGACCCATCTGGGCTGCAGCGTGTAGTGCGGTCATGCCGTCCTGGGCTCGCAAGTGCGGATCCGCGCCGCACTCCTGCACCAGGTACTTGGTCATCTCCAGGTGGCCCTCCTGGCATGCCAGGTACAGGGGCGTGGCACCGTTGTGGGTTCGGGCATTCACTCCCCTGAGAATAAGCAACACCCACCGTGGGCTCCGATGCCCGCTGCCCTCTCTTTACAACCGGCCTCCTTCCGCCCCTAGCCTGGAGCGCTTCAAGAGTGTCACAGGCTGTCCTTGATGTCTGTGGCCCAGTCCTGCAGTGCTGGCCCTCAGGGCACCCCACCACCTGCCCCTCACACCCCACCATCTATAAAGCTAGGCAGACCCACATTTAAACTAATTTCAAATCACATTTTTTAAAAAAGACAGTCTATGTAGCTCTAGCTGGTCTGGAATTCTATGCAAATCAGGCTGGCATCAAACTCAGAGATCTGCCTGCCTCTGCCTCCTGAGTGCTGGGATTAAGGACGTGTGGGACCCTGCCAGGCTATTTTTAAAATTATTTTTAATGTATTTTAACTGTATGTGCATGAGTATTTTGCCTGCCTATATATAAGTGCACCCATGCTGTGCAATGCCCAGGTGGTCAGAAGAGGGTGTCAGATCCCCTGACATTAGAGTTACAGATAGTTGCTAGCCACCATGTGGGTGCTGGGAATTGAACTGACCCAGGGTCCTCTGCAAGAGCAGCCAGTGCTCTTAACTGATAAGCCATCTCTCCCGCTCTCCCCCCTCCCTTTTTTTTGAGGCAAGGTCTCACTATGTAACCCTGGCTGACCTGGAACTCACAGGGATCCATCTGCCTCTGCCTCCCAAGTATTGGGATTAAAGACGTGCACCACCACATCCAACTTACTTGCATTTATCTATGTGTGTGTGTGTCTGGACATTAGGAGGTCAGAGGACAACTTGTGGGACTCCATTCTCACCTGCCATGTTGTTCTCAAGGACTGAACTTAGGTCATCAGGTGTGGTAGCAAGCACCTTACCCCACTGAGCCACCACACCAGTCTCAGACCCACCCTGTAGCCCCCAGCTGGCCTGGAACTCACTCTGTAGACCAGGCTGGCCTCAATCTCACAAAGACCTGCCTGCCTTTGCCTCCCAAGTGCTGGGACTAAAGGCATGTGCCACCACACCCGGCAGACCCAACACAGACTCAACATTTTAACCAGTATCCATGAGGAGATGGTGACCTGGTCTTTCCTACCTTTTTAACGACTCTGGCTGTCACTGTGTATTCCCACACTTGCTGTCTGATCGCTGTGCCTTTCTCTTGCCCCCTCCATCTGGAATGCCTCTTCCATCCTCCTTAAGGCTCAGGACATGCCTCTCTGTGAGGCCTGCCCTGATTTTCCTGGGGAGAACAGGCCTTCCCACCCTGTGCCCCATACCCCCTGGAGGCTCCTCCTGCCTTGGGGCAGTTCTGTGGATGGCCCAGCAAGCTTCATGAGCTGGGCCTCCCTCAGAAGACTGAGTTCCCAGAAGGCAGGACTGGAGGGATACCAGGTAATAGGTAGAATGCCCAGTTAAATCTTAACTTCAAATGGGACATCAATTGATATTCTAGCATCTTCCAAATATAGCATGGAACATGCTTATATTGAACATTACTCATCCAAAACAGTTAATGGGACATCCCGAGCTTCACTATTAATGATTTTTATTTTTATTTATTTATTTTTGGTCTTTTTGAGATAGGGTCTCCCTGTAGCCCCAGCTGTCCTGGAACTCACTATGTAGACCAGGCTGGCCTTGAACTCATAGAGATCCACCTGCCTGAGTGCTGGGATTAAAGGCGTGCACCACCACGCCTGGCTGGTGGATCTTTCTTAAGTCTAGTTGGTTTTCGAACTTTGCAGAGGAGCAAATAAGGTGAGGGCATGTGTTGTGGTAAGCGGTACAGGAGCACATGGGGATGTGGTGCCTGCGCATAGTAGGCATGCAGGCAGTGCAGAGGAGTGGGGAAGAGCAGGTGGGACCTGTGTCCTGGAGGTTTCCCCTGTAGTCTGGGCTTTTGGTTGTCATAGCCCCTTATTCTCACTCCCCCTACCCAGCAATGTCCTAACTGGGCAAAACGGATCCAGCCCCACTGATGGGGTTCAGTTAGGGAATCCTGAACCTGGCCACTAGGCTGATGGCTGTGGGCTGCCCAGAGTGCAGTTACCAGAAAGGGACACTGGGCGGAGCCACAATCTACTCTAGACCCAGGAGCTGCCTATCACCTTCCTATTCAAGAGGATAAACATGATGGGGGGCTCCATCCTGTTATGATCTTTTACATCCCCACCCAAACATCCTCTCCCTATTCATATGTCCACATATCAATCAGAGCCACAAGCCCCTCCCTCACGTGTCCAGTGGCTTGCCTCTCCCTCCTCCACCTGCCCTTTGCCCACTCATCGCGCCTACATGATTAAGTCCTTTTCTTTTATTTTCTTTTTTTTAAATTTTATTTTATGTGTATGCATGTATTGCCTGCATGTAGGTAAGTGCACCCGAGTCGTGCAATGCCCACGGAGGTCAGAAGAGGTTGTCGGATCCCCTGGGACTGGAGTTATATGGACAGTTGTTAGCTGCCATGTGGGTGCTAGGATTTGAACCCAGGTCTTCTGCAAGAACAAACCAGTGTTCTTAACCGCTGACCCATCTCTCCAGCCCTCAATTAAGTCAAACATGCTCTCTTCATCTCACCCATGGTCTCCCAGCGGACGACTTGCTGTCTTCAAGTCCCTGGCTCTCTGCCCACTCCCCTTCCCCTGGATCTCCCCTCCCCAGGATGTTTGCACCCAGCACTGGGCACCCATTTCTGGTCTCTCCTTCCTTCTTGATGTGGGCGTATCTTCTTACACAGGGCTGTCATTTACTGGGCTAGTGCTGAATCTGGTGCTTTAGATATCTGCCAGCAAGCTGGGTTATAACCCCAGCTCTTGGGAGGCTGAGGCAGGAGAATCACTGAGAATTTGAACCCAACCTGGCCTACATAGTTAAGATCCTGTTTCTAAAAACCTAAAACAAAATAAAAGAGTAGGTCCTGCCTGTACAACACAGGGCAGACAAAAGACCAACCATCAGCCACACACCTCTTCTTAAAGCCATGCTGGCTCCTGGCTCCAGCAAGTCCCAGCACCAACGTCACCCACACACACTCTCAGGCTGGTGTGTCAGGAACAGCCTGTTGAATATTTCATGACCAACACTCAGCGGCCTGAATTATTCACCCTGTAACCAAGGCACAGTGAATACTGGGGTCCTGGGGATTGGACGCTAGAGGGGGCCACCCCCAAAGCCTGCTGGGTTTTCAGGTGGGGAGAAGGTGCACACAACAGAGAGCCAGATTTGTGTGAGCCCTGCCCTTCCAGTAGCCCCTGGTTGGCAGGTAGCCCAGCCACCTAAAAGGAACTGGACAGCAGGGGGCAGTGCTGTCCACAGCCGCTGCCAGCAGAGCACCTGACAGCTAATAAAGGTCCCATTATTACTAGCAGCCTCTGCCGTCAAGACTCCTGTTATGGAGTGGAAGACCCCCAGGACACGGGGCAGGTCTGCTGATGGGCCATGATGGACAGGGGTGGTCTTAGCCAGTTCCCTTTCTTGCTTGGTTTGGAGGCAAGAGGAAATAAGGACTCCCTCCCACTCACTGGAGAAAACTCACAAAAATGTGGAGAAGTATCTATTTTTATTATATATATTTTATTTATTTATATATATATTATATATAATATATATTAAAAATATATTTTTTGGTCTTTTTGAGACAGGGTCTCCCTGTAGCCCCAGCTGGCCTGGAACTCAGCTGTGCATGGGGCTGGGGCATGACAGGGGTTGCAGGAAGTCTTAGACTCTGATTTGAGGAAGTCCCACCTCCCTTATGCTGGGCCACAGAGTTCCTTCTCGTTTCTGAATTCTCAAATCAATGCTTTGGAAGTGGGGATCTCCATTGTGCCTGGGAGGACAAGCCACCTGGGGCTCTGCCAAACATGTGTCAGGCTAGGCTTCATGCCTGCTGTATGTGTGAGGACCCTGGTTAAAGGGAACAGGGGGAATCTTGGGAACCTTCTGACCTCTAGACTCCTGCCTGGCTGTCCTGTAGCTTAGAGTGACAGCCACAGGCAGCTGTTCTGTCCAAGCCCTTGTCCTGTCCCTCCACTCACCACCTCACTCTAACTCACTGTGTGGGACCCCAGCACAGAGTTACTCTGTGCAATCTGTTTCCTCATATGGCATTGCTTATTAGCCTCTCCACAGGCTCCTGTGTGCAAACACTAGAGCACCTCAGGAAGCTGAGCCTGTCTTCTGACAGGAGGGAGCGCTGGGCTTCCCCAGTGGCTGCCATCCCGGGATTGGATCTCAGCATCCCCCAGCCTATCCACGGTCTCCAGGGCATTGCTCCATGTTGATAGCCAGTGGTCTCCATTCTCACCTGACTTGCCCTCCTTACCAGGTGCCCCCTCCAAGCCGCTCCTTTGGCTGCCTGGTTCACTGGGGCGCAGAACAGTCTTCTGACTAAAGCAGGTCTCTTAGTTTTTTTGCCTCAAACATCCATCTTACCACCATGTCAGTCATCTTGGTAAAGGACACCATCCCCCCAACCCCCTTTCTCTTTCTTCCTCGCTCTCCTGTCTTTTTTTTTTTTTTGAGACAGGGTTTCATGTAGCCCAAGCTAGCCTAGAACTCACTATGTAGCCAAGGATGACCCTGAATTCTGATTCTTCTGCCTCTGCCTTCTAAGTGCTGGGATTACAGGTGTATGTGGTGCTGGGGAGCAAACCCACAGCTTTGTGCATGCTAGGAAAGCAGTCTACCAACTGAGCTTTGTCTCTAACCCTTTCTTTTTTAAAAAAATTTCCTTTTGCAGCACTAGGAATCTAACTCAAGGCTTCATGCACACTAGGCAAAACACTACCACTGAGCCTTACCCAACCCGTACCCTCTTCCTTCTTTTTTGGCCTTTTTGAAGCAGACTCTCCCTGTATCAGCTTACTGTTTAACGCTGCCACAAGGAGCCAGGGAGCAATCAGCACCCCATGTATCAGACTCTGGTTAAGGAGCAACATGTCTAGTGTTCCCACTGCTAATCACTTCTCCCCTAAGGGAGGTGAGGAAGGGGCTGTATATACAAGAGGCCCATCATACCTCTTAGGTTAAGAACTTGGCCCAGAGAAGAAACACAGCACTTCCCAGAGAAGGTTTTAGACCAGTGCACTGACCTCCCAATGCATCAGGAAGTTGATGGGAGATAGTTAAACTTCAATGTCAAGTTGACTAAATTTAAAATCACCAAGGACACACCTCTGGGTGTGTTTGTAAGAACATTTCCAGAGAGGTTTCACTGAGGTTGGAAGACCCAGCCTGAATGTGGGAAGTATTAGCCCATCTTTTGAGGTTCTGCACTGACTAGAAAGGGGAAAAAAGGAGGAACTATCTGGGTACCAGCATCCCTCTCTGTCTCCTTCCTGTGGACACAATGTGACCAGCCATCTCATGGCTCTTACTGATGTACTTTCCCATGATGACAGACAATATCCTCTTTTTATTTATTTATTATTTTTATTTTATGTGTATGAGTGTTTTGCTTGCAGGTAGGTAAGGTAGGTAAGTGCACCCAGGTCGTGCAGTGCCCATGGAGGTTAGAAGAGGGTGTTGGATCCCCTGGAACTAGAGTTATAGAGAGTTGTTAGCTGCCATATGGGTGCTTGGAATCAAACCCAGGTCCTCTGCAAGAGCAGTCACTGCTCCTTTTTTTTTTTCTTGTCTTTTGAGATGGAGTCTCCCTGTAGCCCCAGCTGGCCTGGAACTCACTATGTAGACCAGACTGGCCTTGAACTCACAGAGATCCACCTGCCTCTGCCTCCCAAGTGCTGGGACTAAAAGCGTGTGCCACCACACCCAGCCAAGAGCAGTCACTGCTCTTAACCCCAGAGCCATCTCTCCTGTCCACCTATGTCCTCTCTTAAATTCTGAACCCAAATAAACCCTGTAAACTGCTTTTCTCAGGTATGTCATCACAGCAACTAAAAACACGTACACCTATGACAGTCGCAGAAGCCAACACTGGCATGTATCTCTCCTACCCTTCCAGGGCCTCCCCTGGCTCTCTATTTAGCTCCATCTGATGTGCCCCAGCCATGGCCATCCCCTCACAATGGAGCTCTGCACTGCCTCTTACTCAGGTGTCATCAGAGAGGCCTTCCCTGACCCCCTCCACTTAAAGGACCCCACATTGCTTCCTATCAAACAGCCCAGTCTGCTCTTGAGTTTCTCCCAATCCAGCGGGGCTGGCTGTATCCACAGTGCAGATGGGCTGGACAGAGCTCAGCACACTGTGTTGAATGAGTTAAATGTGTCAGTGAGTGAGAAGAGGCAGCCAGGCCGGGAGCTGTGTGCTCACTACAGCCTCAGCCTATCAGGCAGAGTGGGCCCGTTTGCTGCAGGAAGAGCCAGAAAAGGAGCTTCATCTGTGGTCACATGCAGTTACCTGTCACCAGAGATGGACCCAGAGATTCTGGACTCTTCATCACTCCACAAAGACCCACTGCATGACAGACACTGGACACCCAGAGGGAATAAGATAAAAAACCTGTGGCCCCATTAGTCACTGGAACAGACAGTAAGACAGCCCAGAGGCATGTGGAAGGCTGTGCCAGTGAATGATAAGGGCCCAGGGGCCCAAGAGGAATATCCCAAGAGTTTTTCCTTCTCTCCAGCCTCAAAGCACAAAATCTGGCTGAGCCCAGGGCTCCCCCACCCATCTCCCACCCCCAGCAGCTTAGGCCCCAGGGCAGATCAAAACAGACATGGCAGAAGCAGAGCCAGCTGGAAGGGGCTATTGGGCCCTAGAACCCCCGCTGGAAGGGTGCATAGGAGCAGAGCAGGTCTGCTGGCTCTTTGCTCCTTTTCAGTGGTGTAACTGGGAATCCGGACACCATGTGCACCTCAGAGTCAGTTGTGTTCCTGCTCAGCCACCTGTCTCCATCTCTCAGACACATCCCCCAGATCTCCCAGCTTAGGGGCTCCTTACTGCAGGGTGCTCAGAGGAAAAGGTCTCCCACCCCTTGGAAGACTGTGGCAAACCCTCTGCTTCTGCAGATTCAGTCCAGTGAACTGGGACAGACTGGAGAAAGGGGTTGAGTACAGTGTGTTCCTATAACCTCAAGCACTTTCCAATGCCTCAGGGCATAGCCCGGCCTTAGCCAGGCCCTCCCTGAGGCTGCCCAGCTCTCCTGTTCTCCTGCAGCTTGTCAGCGCCATGGCCAATGGTCACCCACAGCCTCCCTGGGCAGGATCGAGTTTCCCACAGGTAGGGATGCCACCCTTCCTCCCTCATCAGTGTAAGAGGGAGAGTTGAGCCCTTGTGAATAATTCATAGTGCTTCACAGCAGGCGAGGAAGGCTCACAAGAGCATGGAGCCACTGCCTCAGAGCAAGGCTGTGGGGTCCTTGATGGGACCCTGGGGCCCCGGGGCATCTTAGTGTCTAGTGTCTCCAGTTCCTGGCCATTGCTGCCACAGCCTTAGGGGAGCACAAGTCTCCACCCCTGAAGCCAGAGGCTATATAGGCAGACCAACCCCTGACTCTAATTCTCAGTCTCCCTTCCTGCCTTAGTCTAGCCTGGCAACCACACAAAGGCACCTCCTTATCAGCCTGGTCACACACCATGGCAGAGAATGGAGCCCAGGCTGTCTGTCCACCTCCCTGAGATTCATGGTGACTCCTAAATGACCTGGCAGCTCCTCAGGCAGGCCCTTTGGCACAGAGTCAGCACCAGGGTCCAATCTTAGCCAGCACCTGGCATAGCTTGTGAGGTTTGGGGTCCCCACAGGCTAGAACCTACAAGGGTGTTGCATGGAGCGTTCCCAAGGGTGGGGAGCTCAGCTCATGAAGAGCTCCAGGCTTGTAGTTAGTGCTGGCTTCTCACTAAGGCAGGCTCAGGGACCAGTGCTTCTCACTCATACTTACAGAGCAGGGTTGGAGCCCTGTCAGTGCACACCACTGGACTCTGCTGGCCCTGCTGCAGTGGCCACGAAGTGGCTGTGGAAAGAAGCCATCCTGGCACACACCAGTGTGTCTGTCCTATACGAAGTGGCCACATTGGCCTCCAGCCTGCTCCCTGGTGGCTGGTAGCCCCAAGGCACCCTCAGGAATGGACCAGTGATGGGCCTGACCCTTCCACTTTGCAGCCACTTTTTTGCTAAGACTAGGGCCACCCACTTAGACTGACAAGGGGCACTGGCCAGAGCCCTCACCAGGCTCAGGTCCTGGTGGACACTATTCCTCAGGCAGGATCCATGTTCTTTCCCTGAGGCCTCCTGCCCCTACCCCCCAGTATATCTAAGGCTTGGTGGCCTCCTTTCCCAAGACTTCCATGTGACCCTCTTCTCTGCAGTGAACCTCTTTCTTCCACATGCCCCCACCGTGTACCAGGAACTCCCAACACTCAGGGGCCCAGGGAGGTTTAGAAGCCATTGCCCTTCAGTGGCAGGAATGGGTCAAGGGGCCACAGAAATGAAAAATGTTCTAAAGATGGCCTGGCCATGACTCGGGGGCTAAGGAGGGGTGCTGGGACTGAAAGGCAGCTCTCCCCTTACTTTTGATAATTGACATGGCCTTTATTTGTGCGATTGGGTCTAGAAGGTAGTCTTGCCCCAACACCCCATTTAGAATGGTCTTAGAAATGTGCACAAACTAAAGTTGGAGAAAACTGAAAGTAAACAAGCACCCTGGGGTGGGCAAATGACCTTGGCCTGTGTGCCCAGAGTCCCAAGTCTAACTGCAGGGCCTGAAGCAAGCAGCTGTGGCCCCCAGAAGGGCTGCCTGGTAGGCAGAAATTTCACTGTGGCCAGAGCTGTCTTAGGCCTAGACAAGGGCCTTTGGCCCCCTCCAGATGGCTCCTGGAGCAGTCACTGGTAAAGAGATGTGGCAGGTGTGACTCCAGGTTTTCCTTAGCATCTCTCTCTCTCTCTCTCTCTCTCTCTCATCTTTGAGACAGGGTCTTCCTGTAGCCTCAGCTGGCCTGGAACTCACTGAGTAGATGAGGCTGGCCTTGAACTTACAGATCCGCCTGCCTCTGCCTCCCAAGTGCTGGAACTAAAGGAGTGCCACAACACTTGGCCAAGCTTTGGTCTCTTACCAAGAGAAAGTTCCTAATGATCAGGAATCTTTGGGCTGGCTGTGGTGGTACATGCTTTTAATCCCAGCACTTGGGAGGCAGGTGGATCACTGTGAGTTTGAGGCCTGTTTGATCTACACAGTGAGTTCCAGGCCAGCTGGGGCTACAGGGAGACTCTATCTCAAAAAAGCAAGCAAGCAAAACAGATCAGGAATCCACAGATGCACTCATTTACATAGCAAGGATCAAGAGATCCTGTTTCAAAAACAAAATAAAAAGGGAATTCCTAGGGACTGGAGAGATGGCTCAGTGGTTAAGAACAATGGCTGTTCTTGCAGGAGACCTGGGTTAGATTCCCAGCACCCACATGGTGGCTAACAACCATCTGTAACTTGAGTTCTGGTCTCCACAGGCTTTGCACAACACAGGTGCACTTACATACATGCAGGAAATATACTCATACATACTTTATAAAAATAAAAATAATAAAATATTTGAAAAATTTAAGACAAAAAAACAAAAACAAAAAAAACAAAAAAACTGGACGTGGTGGTGCATGCCTGTAGTCCCAGCGCTTGGGAGGCAGAGGCAGGCGGATCTCTGTGAGTTCAAGGCCAGCCTGGTCTACATAGTGAGTTCCAGGACAGCTGGGGCCACAGGGAGACCCTGTCACAAAAAGACCAAATAAATAAATAACTAATAAATAAATAAATAAATAAACAAAAAGGGGAGTTCCTAGCCTGGGAGTATGGCTCAGTGATGGCATGTGCAAGCCCCTGTGCTTGATCCCAGTACCAGAGCAAAGCAACTAATAAAAAAAGAGAAAGTCCTTACTCAGGGTGATGTCCAACTAGAAGCTTCATTGAGGGCAAGTCTCCTTTGGCGGCAGCATAGTGGATGGGCAGGGCACCCGAGTCTGTGGCCATGGTAGGGTCCCCACCACCATGACACACCAGCCAGTTCACCACCTCGGGGTGGCCAAAGCGGGCAGCCAGATGCAGGACGGTGGCACCAGAATTGTCTCTGTCCTGTGAAAAGAGAGTTGGTTAAGGTTCTGCAGCTTGAACCTGTTCCTGTCAGGGGCTCAGGCCACTGCTAGCCTCCCTTAGACATGATTTAGTGGTGGACCAGATCCTAGGAGTTTGAATCCTGCTTCTGTCTTTAGGCAACTACCACACAGCCTTGATCCTCTGTCCATAAGAAGCAATGCAACATGGGATCTCAGAGGCCTTCAGGACATGATGGAGAGGTACCAGCACATGGGGGCGCCCCAAACATGGCAGCCTGTATCATAGCAGGAGCCCAGGCTCTAGTTACCCAGGAAAACCCGAGTGACTCAGTACACTGCTGCGCTGGGCAGGGCCAGGAGGGATGGGCAGCTGAGGCCACAGCAGACTGGCATGGGGACTGTAGGGGGTACTCCCTGCATCCGACCTTGATCTTCCTCCTCTTCATTCCCAGGAGTCACAAGGGAGGAACAGAGGTGTCTGTCCATCTTGGTATACCTCCAACAACCCCACCCCCACACAGGAAACTGCCCTCCTGTAGACTCTCCTGTTCCCAGCCTCAGGAACAGGCTGTGTTTTTGCCCTGTGGAGGAGGAAGTTACTGGCTACTGGTAGGCAGGGTCTGGGGCAGTCAGTCAATGATGTAGGTGTGCGCAGGTGGCAGTCTCTGTGAGAATCTGAGTAAGACCCCTGGAGGCACCACAGAACCCGTCGGCCCAGAACTGCTGAATGTGCCCTTTCCATGTACCCAGTGTGTATATTTTTGGGGCAGATGCAACATGGGATCTCAGAGGCCTTCAGAGCCCCTCAGAGGCTGAGGGGCTGCTCATGGGCAGGGAGAAAAGGACACAGAGAACAAGTGTCATGTCATCAAACTGTGGAGGTCGAGTGGTAATGCTGTCCCACTAAGGAGGTGGGGAGGATTATGGGACAGAAAGCAAATGGCCCACAGGAGCTAAGGAAGATGCCAGAGTTCCCCACTGTGTGTTGTAGGTATGTAGAAACTTGTTCAGTTCTCCCTGAGCCCGGGGATAGGGTTGGCTGGAGGTGACCCATGTCAAACCATGATGAAGTATGTTTGCAGCCTCAATTCTTGAGAAAGGCCCTCCCAGCCCACTGGTCTTGGGCACTGTGGGTCTGAGGCTCCAGGGCATCCCCATAGTTCAAGACTTCTGGGTAGTGGTGGCATTAGGAAGATCAGAGGCCTATGGACTGTGTCCTGTGTCCGAGGTATCATTGGCTGTGTGGGCCCCAGAGTCTCTTGTCTGGGGCCCACACTCTAAGTTGCTTTTCTCTCTGGGCTGGGCAGGACCAGGGATTGAGGTTACCCACCACTACACCCACATCCACTTCTGCCCCTGGTACTGTAACCTGCTTGGGGTAGAGGACAGGAGATTGGGTAAACTGGCCACAAGGCCACTTGTTCCTTTCACCTCCTCTGCAGTGATAAGGAAGGCTTCCGGCCAGGATTGGGCATCAGGTTCAGGGAGGAAAAGGGAGGCTTCCAGAGCCAAGGTTGGACATGGAATCAGGGAGGCGGGCACTTCCCAAAAGAGGAGGTGTAGGCCTTGTAGCTGTGGGTTACATGGAAAGGAACTCCTGATAACAGGGCTGGGAGATAAGGAGAGGGGAGTGCATCTCCGAGGAAGGCTGGGAAAGTTGGGGCTTGCCCTCCAAGGACAGGCAGTGGGCGCTGTATTGGATCACGGTCAGACATGCAAGCCAGCTTGAGGTGGCTTCTGCCCATTTGACCTATGGTCTTTGAAGCCTTTTTGTTGTTGGTTGGTTGGATTTAGTTTTTTGAGATTGAGTCTCATGATGTGGCCCAGGCTGGCCTTAAACTCACAGCAATCCTCTTGCCTCAGTTTCCCAAGTGCCGGGATTACAGAGGTGAGGCCCCCCCCCATGCTCTTTATAAGGAGGAAATCAGATCTGCTCCCTCTCTCAATTGGCTGCCCAATTGCTGACCTCAGCCCAGGAGACCCTCTAGGCCTGGCCTGGTGGCCACCCGTCTTCATCCCTCTCCAACACCCTGATCTTGGCCTTCTTCCAACACGACGAGAATGTGTGCAACCTCAGGGCTTTTCACATCTTATTCTCTGCTGGGAACTCTTTGATCTTCTCTCTAGCCAGGACTCCGCTGGAAAGTCCTTCCTCAAAGTGAGCAGTGACCTGGTGATCTGGGGACAAGTGACTTGGAGTTGGAACACCTAAAAGTACTGATGTCTAGAGGAATGCCTATGTCCTGGTCTTGGGGAGCAGCCCCCCATGTCTCACTACCCTTGTCCCACACCCTGATTTAGGGACATCTTCATCTTGGCCGGATTGTGTTGACCCTCCCTCCAGTCCCAATCCCAGAGAATTTGGGCTTCTAATTCTGCAGCCCAGTCTCTTCAGGCTGCCCTGCCCTTTGAAGCCTGGGCCGCCCCTCCAGGATCCCGTGCCTAGTCTATCCTAGGACATACCAGCCCCACTGGGTCCAGCTCCCCTCAGATTCTGATAGCAATCAAACAAGCATCCAAGCCCCCAATCTCGGGAGCCCACCGCATCCAAAACCTCTCAGAAAGGAAGTGCGTGCAAGGAGGCTGACCCCACCTCCACCCACCCTTGAGCCACCTTGGGGACTCACCTGCGCTCTGCAACCACCCTGCGTGAGCAGCCACTGCAGGCAGGAGAGGTGGCCCGTGGCAGCGGCGTCATGGGCCGGCGTGGCACCGTTGCGCGCGCGGGCGCCGGCCGGGAGGGCGACCTTCTCCACCAGGAAGCGCATACAGTGCAAGTTGCCAGCGCGGGCAGCGTGGTGCACCGGCAGCGCGTCCAGCGGGTCCCGGAGCGAGGCCTCCAGCTGGCCGGCGGCGTGCAGGGACTTCAGCACCTCCAGGTCGCCCTGCCGTGCCGCCAGCAGCGCCTGCTCCAGGGCCATGGTGCAGCCCGCGGCGCCGCGACCCTGCGCTTACTTCGTTCCCGGGGGCCGCATGCGGGTGGCCGTCGGGGGCTCGGGGCTCCCGGGATCTCAGCTCCGCCTCCGCAGCGCTCTGGGGCAGGGACCCTGTGAGTTCTGGGCTTAAGCCTGGGACCCGCCCCCGCCCCGCCTTTTCTATGCCCCGCCTATCCTGAGGTTCCCCCGCTCCCCCCTTCAGGCGACCGGGGCAGGTGCGCTTAGAAACTCTTTCTAATTTGCGTCACTTATAAATTGGATAGAATTCGAGCGCCATCCAATCACAGATCAATTCATTCAGCTGCCCGGTGGCCACCTTGGACTGTCCCAGGTTCTGGGGACACTAGCCAACAAGCGAGCGCAATTACCAGAGCAACAAATGTCCCTAGAACCTGAGCACGGGAGATGGGAGACAGGAAATGCTTTGGGTTTGAGTGCAGCGAAGGGTGTAGCAGGAACTCAAGGGCACCACCTCGAAGCCCACCAAATGGAAAGTGCTGTGTGCTCAGCACTCGAGACTCCAAGGAGCCTCCAGACCCAAGAAAAAGAAGGAAGAGGAGACAGAAAAGCAAAGGAAGGGGCCAGCAATACGACTCAGCGGGTAAAGGCGCTTGCAGCCAAGTCTGATCACCCAAATTCGATCCTCAGGACCCATATGGTGGAAGGCAAGAACCGACTCCCACAATTGTCCACTGACTTCCACACGTGCGCCATAGCATGCGTGGTCCCCCTCCATAAATAATTAAATGTAATAAAAGAAATTTTATTTAAATTACCTTTTTCTTAAAGGAAAGAAAGGAGGGAG